ATTTATTTTGGGTTTAATACTGTCCATTAAAACGTTACATTTTTGTTTTCTTATAACCGCTAAAAACATTCCTTATGTAAAGCCAGGGCTGCAGAACTTAGTGGTGTAGGAACTAAATGGGATTCCTGGAGGAGATAAGTGATGGCGATTCTTCTGGAAGCATCAGTGCTCATGGCTCTCTGAACGAATGTGCACATCTCTCACAAGATCAGAACAAGTGGCACTGTTATCCCAATAGAGGGATTAAAAAGAAAGGCAACAGCGGAAACTTTAGTTTGTCTACACCATACAGAGTTGCTGCACTTTACAATATGTCCTGTAAAGCGCTTTGACATGTCTTCCCGACGTGAAGGGCGCTGAAACAAACTCAAGGATTATTATTTTTCTTTTAAAAAAAGAAGAGGAAAGACTTGATTAGCAAACTGGTTGGACAGAATACAGGGAAATGCTAAATGTGTCAGCCTAGCTTGGTTGGTAACACTTTCACTCTGATTCACAAGGTTGTGGGTTCAAGCCCCACATTGGGATTGAAACTCACATAGTCTAAACTGACACTCCAGTGCAGTGCTGGGGGTGTGTTGAATTGTTGGAAGTGTCGTCCTTCAGATGAGTCGTTAAACCATGGACCTGCTGTTTCTACACAAAAAGAGAAGAGAGTTTCTGCCGGTGTCCTGGCCAACAATCCCTCAAATAAAAAATTGGTCCTTTGTTTCATGGCCGTTTGTGGGACATTGGTCGTGCTCTGTTAGCTATCGCAAATGAAGAGAACTGCACTTTACATTGTGAAGTGCTATGAGCCTTCCTCCTGACATGAAAGGTCCTATACGAAATGCAAGCATTATTATTTTAACCGAGTGACAACTGAACATTTGTGGACTATTAGAAGAAGTGGAAGAATACCATGCTAATGTGCTGAGAACTCTAACATTCAGAGAATCAGTAGTTTAGATGTTAATCTTTTATTTGTGTGCAAGGGCAAGATGGAAGCCTGGTAATTGTTTGATGATTCTTTTATGAATTTACCCTTATCTTTCCTGACATATTTGTCCCCATTCTATTAATTTTGAGATTGAGTGCTTTCAGGCACTAACTACTCCTTAAATCTCTGGAACCCCCTGCCTCAGTCCCATCTCTTTGCCCATGTTCAAATCACACCTGAAAACTTTCCTCTTCGACCATGCCTTTGGTCATCTCCGCTCTCCTTACAGCTCGGGGCCAAACTGCACTGCTGTTAAGTGCTCCGAGACGCTACCCGCGTGAAGGGCACAGTATAGGTGCTGGAGATTGTTGATATAGTGCAGAGAATTCTTAATTTTTTTAAATTTAGAAGCCTGTTTCTGCAGTTCATAAAAGCTCTGTAGGAGATGGGCTTTCAAATAAAGACTGAATTTAAGAAATTCCTAAATTTCTGCACCATCTTAATTGTTAAAACTTCACTGCTGATGATGATGAGGTTTGGACGATGAGGAATTTTGATTCCAGGTGAGGACAGTAACTGCCACTATTGAACTTGCTATTCAATACTCGCAGCCATGGTTCAGATGGCATGAATGGCCTCTAGAGTGAAATATCATGGAATTGTATCCCAAGAAAGAGTTGGCAGCATCAGGAGAGGAGGAGGTCAGTAAAATTGGCAAACAGAAGTGTGTCGTTCAGCCATTCAGAACCTGCAAGTTCAAACACTGCTCTGTTACGGAATTTGAGCATTTACATGTGTTCAGGTTGAGTTGCTTTATAAATTCACTGGCGTTAACCAGTTATAACAACTGCGGCAACAAGATTTCCATTATTTACCGCTGTTTTATTAAACCTATTCTTCCGTATCGTTCACAAAATATCGTTGTGCTCGGAAGAAAAACAAAGATTATTGAGAGGGCAAAGTGAAAAGCTTCCTCTGAGACTGGCTGGAAGATTATGTATGCTCAGTGGAGTTTATAAATATTAGATCAAATATGAGTTCGTGTTCAGTTTTTCCAATTAAAATAGTTGCTTCTCCAGAATGTGCCCGTGGTTAAAGACTCCTATGATTAAACCTGATTTGAAATGTGCCCGTTGCCTAGAAGTTCAAATGAATGCCCCAAGGGGATTTGCTCGAGGAAAGTTGTTAAATTTGCACAAAAATTAGAGAGGTCATTAAGGTTCCATGCTAGATTTTGCTTTCAAAGCCTAAATGCAACTATTTCAGGAAATCTGACATCCAGCAAGTAAGTTTCAGCATCCGGAATTCCAATCCGATTCTATTATGTCTTATCCTGTACAGCGTACAGTGCTGCCTCACTATAATGTGCTTCTTTCTAGTGCAATTTCAGTTGTAATGCAGTTGCAGCTTGCAATCCATTCACTGCACTGCAGGCTGCTCGCTTTCCACACATAGGGACTGGCATTTACACTAAGGTCATCACCAAAGTGCTTTACAGAATATACTGTAAAGTGAATTGACTATATATTTCACCCACAAAATATACAGTCAGTTCACTTTACAGAGTATTTTGTGAAGCGCTTTGAGACGTCTCGGAAGACATGATGATATATCAATATCAAATATCTATATCAAATGCAAGGATTATATTATTAATTATACTTAACTTTCTGTGCTGAAAAAAATGGTCATCAGATCATATGGATCCCAGACTGTCACTTCCTGTGCATTACAAACGGGAAGTGATATCGACAGTGACCTAACGATTTCTCTACTTTAGTGTGGAAGTGGCCCATGCACAGAAAGTGAGCTCGCTGGCTGTGCAGTAAAACTGTTTTTCGGCCTTTTAGAACAGGTTGGGATTTTATAGATCTCAATTACTGCATTATAACGAGGCTCCACTGTATATTATATTGAACTAGAGCGAACTTTCTTCAGCTTTTGTTTGGAATTTAGACGTTTTGCAAACAGCTTGGTGGGTAAAAGACAGTGTTATAAAGCCCATTAAACTGCTCTTTTTTTACTTAAATGTTCAGACCCAATTACATTCTTGTAGCAAAATGTAAACCTACTACTGGAACATACGGGAACTTTCTTTCTTGTGTATCGTACTGGCTCAGTTGGTAGCACTCTCCCTTCTGAGCCACAAGCTTGTGGGTTCAAGCCTTACGTTGGGACTTTGTACTCATAGTCAAGGCTGACACTCCGATATAGAGCCGGAGGAATGCTGCAACAATAGAGGGGCGCCCTTCGGGCGAGAGTTAAACTGAGGTTCTGTTTGGCTGTTCAGGTGGACAATAAAAATCCCATGGCCCTATTTGAAAAGAAAAGGGACTTTCTCCCTGTGTCCTGGACAAAAAACAATTGGTCATTCCCTTCATGACTGTTTGTGGTACATTGCTGCGTGTGGATTGGCTGCCAAGTTCGCCCACAAGTGCACAGCCACTGCACTTTGCAGTCAAGTGCTTTAAGATAACTTCTGACGTGAAAGGTGCTGATGAAATGTAAGCTTTATTATTTATCCTTTTTTCTTTTATTTCTCTCCAGGCGATTAAATTGTTTTTTAAAGACATTTTAAAAACATTTTAGTTTACAAAGACTTGAATTACAGCCCAGGACAGCAATAGTATAAGCAGGAATTCTCTGCCATTTACAGCCACCAAGTCAACTTCTAGAGCCAGACATTGATAATACTGTGGCACAGCACAATTGCACAATGGGTGGGATTGGGACTTCAGCAAGAATGCTTGTTCAACACAGTTTCAGTTCAGATTTTTAAGGTTGAAAAAGTGTGGCTTTAACTACTTCATATGCACTTGCGCTTGCAAATCTCTTTACAGTATTTTTCCCAGAGTTTTTTAAAGCAGCCTTTCATTACTGGGTGCTGGTGATTGTTATACTTAGAGAAGGTTCTGACTGAATAGTCTATTCTACAATTACATTCTGTGCATTGGTCTCTGCATGTAAAAGAGTTGAATAGCCAAGTGGTTTATAACTTAAATAATGCTGGTGGGTGAAGAAAGTATTGTGTCAAGTAGTCCTGTGGTGGTAATATTATTATATAATATCATTATTCTAATGCTGCCAGCAGCACATATGTGCGATCCAGTGGTGGGAGCGGATGAGTTGTACTGCTGTTAGACTCATTCCTCTTGAGCAATATCATCAGGGTTTGTGTGAGGATTCCAGCGGGGAGTTGTGGTTTTGTTGGTTGTTCATCACAGCTGCAGATGTGCTGCGATTTGGCCTGATGGTAGAGATTTGCTGCTCAAAAGCTGTGTGGGTGTGGATGGGTGGGTGGCATGTGGGATGGTAGGTTTCAGACCATGTGCGTTGGGTTGCATGCCTCATGGTGGGCTTCATCTTATGAAAGTGGCATGTTATTCGCTTGGATATATATAAACTTCATCTGCAGGGTGTCGACTCAGTAACGTGAAAGTTTCTGAAGAAAGGATGTTGAGTACCTTGGCTACAATGGAGAGGATGAAAAATGGAACAAAAAATTGGGGCGGAGGGAAAAATGGGAGAAAAAGTGGGTGCGACAAACTGGGCATTTTACTAGGAGCTGATTTCATTTACCATCAGCAAACATCTCAGCACGTCCTTCTATTGAAAAAAATCACACTTTGTCATTGTTTTAAAATATTTGATTGTAGTTATCTAACGGGAAAAAACATCTGTTGGAACTTGGATTTTTTTTGGTAAGACTGAAAAAACATCTGGCTGTTTAAGCTAACCGTTTGAGTGGTTTCCATCTTCGTTAAAGCTTTTCAAATCACATTTGCTTTTCAGTGAGTTTGACCTTGCGGTAGTTCTTAACATGAAATGCGTAGTTATCAAATTTCTAAAATGTTAAACGTGCTGATGAAAGCATTTCTCAACCTAAAGTGTTTACATTTCTATTTAGGAAATCTGTGTTTGCAAATTAGCTCCCAATAACCTACAGCAACATATAGTCATTCTACACTTGAATATTGTGGGGCATGCTGAAAAATGCCAGTGTTATTTGGCAGCACACAGAGTTTGTTTCCCACTGGATAAGTGTCACATTAATTTATTGGTCGCATTTCTTTCTGTGCAGGTGACGGATAAATCGGTAAAAGCATTTGCAGAACATTGTCCTCAGCTACAGTATGTGGGTTTTATGGGCTGCTCAGTCACATCCCAAGGGGTCATCCACCTCACCAGGGTAAGTATTATCCTGTAACCACTTGTCGTAAAGCGCCGGTAATTACTGTCAGATCTGTGAGCTGTGACCGTGTCTTTGAGAAAGCATGATCGACTGAAGTGCGACACAGGGAGAAGCATATTGATTCCTCAGCCCCCCCTCCCTGCCCCTCGCCTCCCCAACAAGTATCTTCACACAAGTTAAAAGTTTATTTGTGTCTTATGTTCAGCAAAGTTTGGTCTGGAAATGATTGCCATTCCTGCAATATTTTTCCAACTTAATGAAATGCATTTCATGAAAGCATTTATTTGGCGTGACTTCAGCATCAAGAGAGAGCTTGACTGCTGTAACGTTAACTTTAGGTATAAAATTAAGTTAAAGAAAATGAGGCATTGGAGAGGGAGGGTACATACAAGGGCAACAAGATAGCTAGCTGGAATTAGGTATCTTTATGAACCTATGGAAGGTGGGAATGTTCACGCTGAAGAAGAGAAGGTCCAGAGGAGTACTTCTTGAAATATTCAAGGTTATAAAGGGTTTAAATAAACTGAACCCTAATAATGTTTAACATGGCCAAACCAGACGACATAGACTTGAACTCAGAAGAGAGAAGGTGAACAGATAGTTCAGATTTAGTTATTTTAAAGGTTATTTAGACTACCTCATGGAAGCTGGTTCTGGGACTCTGGTTTGCTGAGAACAATGTTGGTCATTATCTTAGTTGTCACGCATAAAATTCATCCCAGGGTTTCATTTGTCATTTTTGAAGCTGGGATGGGAAGCGCCAATTGCAAACTCTGTTATGAGGATTGAAAGCGATGTTAGCAAATTTGGGACAACAAAATGGCTCATTGTGATTTTCAAAATGTGTGAAAACCATCCAGAGAGCGTAACAGTTCACACTTGTATAGGGAGCGCTGGATGCTGGCAGCACCATGCCCATCGCTGTTATAGGGTGAGAATAGGGAGTCGAATCAATACCTTTTATCCACAGTCTTGCATTTGTAAATTACTGTTTCAAATCTTGTTGTGGTGTTGCATAAGCTCACATACTGCCCTGTCCTGTTCTGTTCTGCTGGTAGCTGTGTTGTAAAATTAACAAAAATGTGAGAGTTGAGCAGTTGCTACCCTGTGAGCTGCAGTGTTTACAGTGTCTTGACAATACTGTTATAGTTACTGTTATAGGAAAGAAGAGGAGGAACGTGGAGAATTTTAACAGGCTCCCAGTGTTGTGCGAAGACATCAGTGAACTTCCAATGCAGTTTTGATTTGCTTTCCAAAAGTAGTTTAGGGTTTTTCAACCAAAACATGAATTTGATTTCTATCCATGCTCTCTGCCACAGCTAAGGATGTGGGATAATAAGGAGCATTATGTAGAAGGGATCAGGTTTTCACGCAAGGCCAGCCAACGTCTCCTATCTCGTAAAGCAAAGCACATTGGTATTCCTGTTCTTTCTGGGTGATGTCCAAACGGATCGTGGAATGTGCTGCCTCAAACTAATGGCCCTGGTCTGTGATAGCCAACGCTTCAGCACCAGAGCTGTTCACAGTCTCACTTCATCTGACAGTGTATGTAAAGCTGCTACCTGGAGCAGTTTACATACTTTCATCAGCTATTAGACCAACATGCCCTTCTCAGATAAGCGCAGTACCTCTGTCAATCCTTCGCTCTTCCATTGTAAATCCACAGCTGAGCTGCTCGAAAGTTTGGGTTTAATTTCTGGAATTCTTCAAAGCTGCTTAACGGGGCCATGACAGGTTTACAACAAGACTGTTTAAGTTAATGAGTGGTGTTAAATATTTCAAGTCATGTCCATATATCTGCTACTCTGTACTCTAACTCTGATCACTTACTGTAAAGGCAACTGATGATGTTCACAAAGTTAGTATTCATTTATACCTCTTATCTTAATAATAATCCTTACAAGAACAACAACAACAATAATAATAAATTACATTTGTATAGAGCCTTTCATGTTGGGAAGATGTCCCAAGGCAATGGACAGTCAGTGTTTCGAACCAGAGTTGGGAGTTGGGATTGTGGAGGGTAGAGGGCAAGGGGGGAAGCAGGGTGATTGAAAGGATGGTCGAAGAGGAGGGTCTTGTGATGGGCCTTGGGGCGTCCTCCTGACGCCTTGGGATCAGCGCCTTGGGACGTCCTCCCGACGTGAAAGGCGCTCAATAAATGGAATCGTTGTTGTTGTTGAAGGAGGCAAGGGAGGGGGGCAAGGCGTAGGGACTGCGAGATGGAGTTCCAGAGGCTGGGGGCAGAAGGAATGCCTGCCATTTTGTTCGACCCTGAGCTGTCCTTTCTCCCTCACATCCGCACCACAACTGGTACCGCCTTCCATCACCTCCGGAACATCACCAGACTACGGCACTACCTCACCCCTCACGCTGCTGAAACCCTGGTCCACGCCTTTATCACCTCAAGGCTGGACTATGGGAACTCTCTCCTCGCCGGCCTTCCCGCCACCTCCCTCCACAAGCTGCAGGTCATTCAGAACTCTGCAGCTCGTGTACTGTCCCGCACCAGGCTTCGCGACCACATCACTCCCACCCTCGCTCGCCTCCACTGGCTCCCCATCCCCCAGAGGATTGATTTCAAGATCCTCATCCTCACCTACAAGGCCATTCACGGCCTTGCTCCCTCCTACCTCTCCAACCTACTATCCCCCTACCTACCTGCCCGTACTCTCCGTTCCTCTGGCTCCGGTCTGCTCCACGTCCCCCGCCCCAACCGCCCTACCATCGGTGGTCGGGCCTTCAGCCTCTCAGCCCCGAGGCTCTGGAACTCTATCCCGCAGTGCCTTCGCCGCTTCCTCCCTTTCCTCCTTCAAGGCCGGTCTCAAAACCTTTCTCTTTGACCAAGCCTTCAGCTCCCCTCTCGACTCTCTTCCCCCTCCTCGCTCCCTCCCTTCCCTCCCCTCACCCTGACCATTTCCCCCCTCCTCGCTCCCTCCCTTCCCTCCCCTCACCCTGACCATTTCCTCCCTCCTCGCTCCCTCCCTTCCCTCCCCTCACCCTGACCATTTCCCCCCTGCTCGGGTCATGACCCAACTGTGCAGCGCCTTGGGACGTCCTCCTGACGTGAAAGGCGCTTTATAAATGGAATCTTGTTGTTGTTGTTGTTGTTGTTGAGGTTAGGATTAAGCGTGAATTTATATCGTGGTCAGGACTGGGGATGGGTCTGGGTCCTCAACCACTTGAAAATATAATAAATACTATAAAATAGAATCCCAGAAATGTGTAATAAGTTTAAAGATAATTATTTGGTGTTGGATCCAGACAATTGTTTTTTTCTTTTCCAAACCGGTAGCAAGAGCATCGCTCATTTGTAAATATTTTTTCCCCTTATATGGAAGGAAAATTGCCCATTGTTTAATGTACGTGTGAGCTATGTTGGTTTAACTGAAGGTTAAAGAACCTTTGGCTTTTTATTACGGTCTGCGTTCTCTAAACCAATATTCCTTCTCCCATTTAAATTTACCAAAACAGCTCTTAGTTATTCCTCTTGCTGCTGTTTGTGAGACGAGGCAGGCACAGATTAGCTGTCACGTTTGCCTCCATAATAACATTCACAATACTTCAAGGTAAGGTGTATGAAGTGCTTTGAGGAAATAGATGAGACATGATATCAAATCCAGGTGCTGTTACTGTGGGAACAAACTAAGTAATAATAATTCTTGCATTTGGTGTACCGCTTTTTAGGTCAGGAGAATGTCCCAAAAGGCTTCACTGGATTTACTGTATTGTAAAATGGAGTGACCATGTGAAAGTGAAAGTGGCAACCAATTTTGCACACAATAATGTCCTGCAAGTTGTGCCATTTGTTATGTCATTGCTTCGATATCTGTAGCTTTACTTGACAAAAGAGCCCACTACAGATAGATTCCCTAAGATGCAAACGTGCCGATTGTTAGGTGTTTTGTCTTGGCCCAAGCTGAGTTGACAGGTACCACCGATGGCTCAGTGATTAAATGCACTGTGTGGTGTGGTACTGAGTGGTGCACATTATGAAGGTCTTATGTTCACTGCCTGGCCTATACTTAGTTAGCTGATCTGAGCCAAAGGAGTGCAGCTACTTCATTTTGCCTCTACTCCGGATTAGGGAACTGGAAATCAGTAGAATTCCTGCTCTTGATCACAATCCAGCAACCTCTGCTGGAATACCTGGTGGGAACAGTGTCTGACTGCATTGTGATGTGTCCTGCATGCATGCATACAGACAGACATTTATTAGAGTGCTGGTTTCTTTATAATGCAAATTAAGTGTATGCTAGCCACCAACTGGCATAATTCACACACACCACCTGCAGTGTTTGTTATGTACCAGGCAGCCCCACTGCTAAGAATTACTTCTGGGTAATTCGGTCATTGTCAACATCACGTCCTGTATTGCACGTGCACAGGAAATGACATTGGTAGTGACCTGATTTCCTGGAATTGGCCTTTTTGAAACCTGATTGCTGGCCGATGTAGAGAAAGCAAAGCAACCCCAGCTGTGTGCAAGTATAGTGAAACCAGTCATCACAGCCGTATTTGCAGACCCAATGACTGCCTTTTCATGAGGTTTAACCACCTGTGCGCAAATTGGCTGTCATGTTCACCTACAAAATATAAACACTATACATTACAGTAACTCCTGTGAAGATAAGCTTTGAGACAACCTCCCGATGTGAAAGGAGCTATATCAAATGTGAGACTTATTATATATCCACATGCACACATATATGCACCAACCCAAGCATATGCGCATACACAATAACATACTATTAACCCTGATGGTTGAGGGAAAGCTTCGTGAAAGCAATGCTGGATCTTGCCGGGTGAAACCATTTCAATTCAGGGGGAAAACAGTCCACCACACAAGTATCACATCACACGTGACCATCATAAACAACAACAACAAGGTCGTCTGCTTTACTGCTTGGTTTTGGACCGAAACTCCAAAACTCTGGTTCCCGCGTACTCACCCGCACTAAACTCCATCACACCAGTTCTAGCCAGGCTCCACTGGC